CATTTTTGTCTAGAATTATGCATCGAAATTTCAGATCATATTGAATGCACTCCTTATCTACTTCATCATTACATGTCACCGAATTTAGTACAAATCGAAGACTACAAAAATTACATATTTCTTTCTATTTACATGAAAGTTAAAGTTGAATGTTTCATTTTATTTATAATTCACATTCATGTTCAACTATGTTATTTATTTTTATTTGCCTTGTTTCCTTATGTGGAGTGTTGTATTTATGGCACATATCAATATTGATACAAATCAAAAGTGAATTTATCTCAAATTTTAATCCTTCAACCATCCTCTTCTAAAAATGTTTCTCAAGTAGTCTATTTTTTTTTCTCAAGTGGTCTAAAAAATGTTAACATTGAGTAAATCACATATCTTATTTTAAGGCCCTGTTTGCTACACATTATTTTTTTCATTCTCATTCTTCTACTCATTTTCAACCACACATTTTTCAATAAAATAATATTTTCCATCACATCATTAACTTTTTCTTCTTTTTCACCCGCATATTCATCATCATATCAACGGCAAAAATACATTTTTTTCCAAAAAATGTGCACCAAACGGGGGTCCATCACATCATTAACTTTTTCTTCATTTTTAACCACACATTCTCTATCAATCTACTATTCAATAATACATTCTTTCAAAAGAATGTGTCACAAACACACTTTTAATTTTTAAAAAAATAGAGAACCAGTCAATTTCTAGTATCTTTTATTTATTATCCTCCAATAAATAAGTAATCTAATAGGAATGTTTACTACGTGTTATAGGAAATACGACGCTACACATTGGGCAAAGTTTACCACCCCTCGTTTGCATTGATTACCAAGTCACTAAGGGCCCGTATGATTGAAGAATGAAATTTGGGTGGAAAGAAAAATTTCGAGGAATTGAATTGCCTAGAACTTATTTTACTGAGAATTGTCAATTAATTGTGTTTGATTCCTATGGACGTGTTCGATCGTGCTTAAAATCCAATTAAAATTGAAAATATAGCCGTTATTGAATCTCATTCGTCTAATAAAAGTCAACAATAATGGATAGTTTTTCAATTTTAATCCGATTTAAATCTCTACCGAACACGCCCTAATTTTTCACCTGAAAAATATTAAAATTTTTTATCTTTTGATGTCCGTTTAACTTTATTTTTCATGAAAATTGTCCATTAAAGGGATATAAGTTGTTACAATTGAAAATAAAATTTGTTTCCATGCCCAAAAAAAAAAAAAATGAAAAAGTTTTGGCGGGAAAATTTTTTTCCTCAAAAACCAAGAAAAATGACAAAAAGGGGGGTTTGGTGGAAAACCATTTGTCAAGAAAATTTTGCCTATCAAATAAGCAAAAATATGAAAAATGAAAAATCAATTCCTAGTTCCATGGAAAAAAATACTATCAAACATGGCCTAATTGCTTTGGTATTTTCGGAGTATTGAGCACTCAGTACTCCGTACTATTATTTAATTGGCATGTGTACTAAACAGTTATAACCCACTATTTGATTAAGACTCTCAATTAAATAGTTTCAAAGGGAGATGCGTTTTCATACTCTGAGATTACCAAAATTTTTATCGTGCTTCTAACTAATTTCGTAACGGAAAATGAAAGAAGTAAAGAGGAAAACGAAATTCAATTTATTGATTTTTTTTTTTTTTCACTTTGATCTCTTTCTTAAATACTATTTTATTAAAATGGAATGGCATGCAGTCCATGTTGGTCAATTTGTAAGGTGGAAATTTCATTAGAAAAATTTAATAGAATTTAATCAAATAAATGAAAAGTAAGACCCTGTCTGGGAGTGATTTTCCTCCCCCACAAAATTGATTTTAGTGCCGTTTTATCCAATGTTCTAAAATGCGTAATGCGTTGCGAAGCGTCGAGACCGAGAATCAAGAATCACAAGTTTAGGCGTGTCAATGCGAAGAAAAAGCGTCATAATGCGTTTCGTATTTTTAAGGCATTAAATATATTTTTATATAAAAAAAAAAAATTTTTTAATATATAAAAAAAAACAGATTTAAAAAAAAAAGAAAAANGATTAAAAAAAAAAAGGGGATTAGACGGACTAATTAGGCGCGCCTTTTAATTGGAAAACGCATTTTTCCCGCATTTCCCGAATTCGACGCGTTTTGATCGCGCGTCGTGCCTAGGCGCGCCTAGGCGGCGCATTTTCCTGTTTTTTAGAACAATGGTTTTATCTGACCGTTTCTCATACAAGCAGCAGTCGAAATCTCTGAATTTTTACTGTTACTGGGCTTCAACGGCCATAAAATTGATTTTAATGAAATTTTAATCAATCCCAGACAACCCCTAAATATCAACAACTAATTTACAACAACATAAATTTTCACGACTAGTGTGAAAGTACGCCGTATGTTAACAAAATCGAAACATCTTAACGGTGACTTGCTTGATGACTATTGTTTTTGACCCACACAAACTCAAAATTGAGATAATATACACATTAAAACACGTAGATAGCTGTAGAGACTACCTTGTCAATAGAGTGAACACGGTTGTATTATGATACTACCAAAATCTATAATTTTTTTGCCTTCCCGCAAATTTGGTAGGAACTTTTTGTGAAGAGGTCTGAATTAGGTTCGATTTGACTAAGACTTAAAAGTTGAAAACTACTTCTAAAAATAAGAAATTACTTTTGGAAACTTGTTTAGATAATTTTTACAAGTGTTTTGTCTATAGTTAGAAGTAGGGTGTTCAAAAGTCCTGAATCGAATATGCTAACCGTATTGTCTATTCGTACGTGCCAACTGTTTTGGTGAACCTATTTCCAAAGACATTTATTACCAGTTGTATTATTTGAGATAATGTTGTACATTATGTCGAGTGATATCTATATGAGTGGTGATAAATAAATTATATATTGTACTCTTTTTTTCTCGACCGAGGTTTTCTCTCACTAAATTCTTCTGACAAAATTTTTAACGAGGCAACGTTTGTTTGCGTATTTGGAAGAATTAATTCTCAATTCTTTTACATTTCACAACATTTTCAAACTTCTGATTTTCTATTTTCTGCGTAATCTGAATCTGAATATGAGTTTGGTCTTTATTCTAAAATAAATGCTATAAATTAATTTACTTAATTAAAAACTTAAGCCCTTCAACCATTAACCTGGACAACTAAATTATTAGATATAGTATGTACATCTTGAATTCAGAGGTGAAAACGTTTTCTTCATGAATAAAAAGGAAATGTTGGAAAATATATATTATCAATCAATTTCAACATTATTTTTATGATGAATTGATACCCCTCTCGTGGCCTGCATCGAAAGTGTACTTTACCCATAGATGTTCAGTCAACTGCTGCTCCTCAACGCATTTCGAGGGGACGAGCTAGCTATAAGTTCGAGTGGCATTTCACTCCATTAAATGATTTGAATTTGCTTTGTATGTATATAAAGCACGATTGATTGTGCATGGATTATCTACCAAAGTTATTGTGAAAGCATACGATTCATTTCCCTCCCTTTGTTTTGTTTAACTTGTAACGATCCGGGTCCCACTTAAAGGGCTATCCCGATCGTTAGATCGACGACGTAATGTCCCCAATGTATCAACATGGGTCTTTTCAACATGTTTTATCTTCCCTCGCAAGCTCCCCACGAAAACTTCTCGGGGGGGGGGGGGGGGGGCCCCCACATAAAATTGCTTCAAACCAAACATGCTTAACTATAGAGTTTCTAACGATTGACTTTCGAAAAAGAAGTACACCTTGTTGGTATAAGTAGTACATATCAGATCTTTTAAGCTTTCCTGTCTGGGTATTACATAACTTGACCTCGTTTTCACGATTTATGCTGCTCTCTTTTTGCCCACTGCTACTACGATAATCGTTTTTGCTTTTTTTTTGCTCTGGCTACAAAGATGTTTTAGCTCAACAAGTTGTCTCTTACCTTTGAATTTTTGGACGAAAGAATATGTACATAATCATAATTGAAATTCCATTGTTTTTTACAAAATTGAGGAGATGTTATTTAGAGCTTGTTTGAAAGGGATTAAAATCAGGTTAAAATTGAAAATATAGTCGTCGGAGTTGACTTTTGTTAGACGAGTGAGACCCAATAACGACTATATTTTTAATTTTAATTGGATTTTAATTATTGTTAGACGAGTGAGACCCAATAATGTTAATTTACTATTTCACATCTAGTTTAATGTACAATTAACGAAGATAATAATTGATTGATTTCTTAACAGATATTTGTAAGATCCTATAATCTATACCTTTTTACGAAATATAGACCGAATATAATAATTTTAATTGAATATATTTTCCAGTTGCAGAATATAAAAGCATAAAGTACAATTCTTTTGTCAGCAAAGCACGTTTAGAAAATTAGTAATTATATAATTGTATATTTTTTTATCCATTTCTATTTTGGAGATAGTAAAATATTTTATTTATTAATGCAGATAAATAGAGGGATGTCAATGAGCCGAAACTTGGAGTCTGGCTCGACTCGAGTAAAAATGGTCTTTGAAATATCGAAGACGTACAACGCAACAGAACACAAAGATGCAAGTACATTCTGAATTGGCTGTGATGGTGGGAAGTCATTTGCATCATAAATTTGAAAACCCCAATTGTCTCCCCAAACAACATATATATGTTAGCCATTGTTTGAGCCTTTTTTTTTTAAATGTATTTTTAAATAGTGTTTTGACCTCANTATATATATAAAGATTTTGTGAGTTCCAATTCACCAATGAATTAATGTGCCAACTCATCGGTGCTTAGGATAAGATGAGCACCGGTGCTCATTAGATCATTTCTGTATATATATATATGTATGTATAATATCTAAATATCATATAGCCCACAAAATTCGTTCATCTTTTCAATAAATGCCTACTCTATCCAACAACCACTTCTACTAACATCCCATTTCTCTTCTTCCCATTCAAAAAACTACTCTAAGTGCCATATCTCTTGGAATTCCCAGCTGGGGTGAGCCTGAAATGAGTAGTAGCCATGAGAGTCCATTCTCATTCTCGGATGAGAAGACGAAAGGAGATAAATCTCCGGAGAAAGTTTCGCTTTTCAAATTGTTTGCATTTGCCGATGCTTACGACTATTTTCTCATGTTTATTGGATCCATTGGTGCCTGCGTGCACGGTGCTTCCGTCCCCGTCTTCTTCATTTTCTTTGGAAAGTTGATCAATATCATCGGTTTGGCTTATCTCTTCCCGAAAGAAGCTTCTCACAAAGTTGCTAAGGTATCGAGTATCGTTAATTTTTTCATGCATCCATTTATTTCTGTGATCAGTCAATTAAAACCTAGATTTCTTTTGCAGTATTCATTAGATTTGGTATATCTGAGTATAGTCATACTATTTTCATCATGGACAGGTAAAAAAATTTGACTCCCATTTCTGAATTATTCAAAATTTAGAAAATAAATATTGTGAAAAATTGATGTAAATGAAAAAAATATATAATTTCAGAGGTGGCTTTTTGGATGCATTCTGGGGAAAGACAAGCCACAAAAATGAGAATGGCATATTTGAGATCTATGTTAAATCAAGATATTAGTCGATTTGACACTGAAGCTTCTACTGGAGAAGTCATTTCAGCTATCACTACCGATATCATTGTTGTTCAAGATGCCATTTCAGAAAAGGTAAGCATCGTCTCGCTCGAAAAAAGAGCTTATTTGACCGTACTTAAAAGTTAATTTTCTAGAAATTTAAGTAAAGAGTTAAAGATTGTCAAATATTTTAAAATAATTCCGAAAAGTGACATAATAGGTTTTTATATTTAAAGAAAAATCACTAATAATTATTGCACAACCAAATGCATTTATGGTTTTCGGTCATGTTATAAATATTTTGGTTGTTAGCTGAATAGGTTGATGGCAATGGCACTTCACGTGTCCATAAATATTCAGCCCGTGTTTGGTGATTTAATTTCACGTTTCATTTAACCTATTATTTAGAGTCACCTAAACTGTGTTTATAACTCCAGTGTGGATGAATAACAAATTTTTTGGGGAAAACGTACTTTGGAATAGTAATTTTTTGGAGAATGTATGATTAAAAAATAAAGAAAAATTTTGAATTTATATGTAATATTATTTTATTGAAAAATGTGCGATTGAAAATGAAAAAATAAAAAAATACAATAAATTAAAATGGAGCTCAAACATGGGCTTACTCTTTATGCAGATGGCAAGGTGTGACAGAGAATTAATGTTATTCACAAGTCTCTAGAGATGTCTTCAACTTGTGAAGGATAAACTCTCAAGTCGATTAAATATGTAAATAATACTCTAATTCAAGCTTTAAGAAGAAATTTCATGATTAGTATTAGAGTTCAACAAGATAAACGAATAATTTGATGTGTCATAAGGTGAAAAAGAATAATTTAATTTCAAAATTGATGTTCTCAAATGAACTATCATCTTGCACGAGTGTTAATAATATTGAATAGAATATTTTGAATAGGAAAAATTGCACAATTGATCCCTAACTTATTGCTTGATGCAAAATTAATCTTCATACTTTTAAAACGAAGAAATTAGTCCTCAACCTTGATGAAGTTAGATTTTAACTTGAATTGGTAGCAATAAAACTTGAAGACTTGAAGTAGAATATACTTTTACATTCCACCCCAATGGATGTTCTCTATCGGAAAAAGAAAACAAGTTTAATATTCTAGTCCCGATTGTTACCTTATTCTTATGTATACTTTTACATTCCACCCCAACGGATGTTTTCTATCGGAAAAAGAAACTGAGTTTAATATTCAAGTCCCGATTGTTATCTTATTCTTATATAAAAAAGACCAATCAAGGGACTCCCGGCTAAGTTTTTACTTATTTTTTAACTTCTTTTGCACTCGACCTGATCGTAGCTTACCCTTCTTGTGAACTCTATGAGCCCCATTTCCATAACTACAAGATACTAACTGAGATATATTTTCATGACGTCATCACGAAGATTAGGACAATGATTAGGACAATGACTAGTTCCCTTTCAAAGATTAAACGATAACTTACTATGCAGTCCATAAATTATGATTCAATGGTGTGAGTTTTGCCTATTAAACATCAACACTTACCTCATGTTTGGCCAAGCTCAAAAGGTTTACACATAAGTAAATAAGTAAAACTTAACCTTCCAAATTATTTTTTTATTACTTTTTGTTTTTTGTTTAATGTTTGGTAATGGGTGCAGGTGGGAAATTTTCTGCACTACTTCAGCCGTTTTATATCAGGATTTGCCGTAGGTTTCATAAGAGTGTGGCAAATCAGTCTTGTGACACTCTCAATCGTACCCTTGATTGCACTTGCTGGTGGCATCTATGCCTATGTAGCCACTGGGCTAATTGCCAGAGTCCGCAAATCCTATGTGAAAGCAGGAGAAATTGCAGAAGAGGTTTGACCCTTTTTTTCATACTGTCTTTATAAATGAATGTGCATTTTTTTATACAGCTTTGAAGACAAAGAAAAATGCTATTTTTGCTTGGTTGGTTGGGAATGCTTCACTGAACCACAGTTTTTATGAAAATTTGCATGTTGAACAACTAATTTATACGAGGGACTTTTTGGAGGTACCTGAAAATGTAGTATGACATTTTATTTTTAGGTACTGGAGGTCCTTTATAATGAGCTGTGTTCGAATCAGCAGGACTGGGACTTATTTAGAACTTATGTTATGGCCATTTGGCATGACTTTTGGAAAGTCAAAAGTTGTTTTTGAACACGTTTGAATAATTTTCTGGAGTTGTTATGTGGGATTAAAAGTGCTTCTCGAGGAAGCTCTTTTATGAAAGCAGCAGAAGATATGCCAAACGGCGGGTTAGTAGTAGGGTTCGAGCAAAATTTTGCCATCAAAAGTAGTTTATATAGAGAGAATGAATATCCTAAGTACTACAATTTGGAAAACTTTGTGCAATTTTAGGTAATTGGCTGTATATGATGAGATTCATGCAGTCCTAAAATTGGGAAACTTATTTGTTACACATCCTCTATAGAACTAGGGAACCTGCTGATGAGGACGCCTGCTTATCAGATTACCAATAGCTTCCAGCAGAAAATTTCACTATGAATTAGAGTGCATGTCACATATTTGCTAGTTCTAAGTGTTAGAATTAAATGTTCCCAATGATCCCTTCTCAACTTTCATAGCATGTGTTCAACAATAACAATAAAAACATACCTCCAAATGGCTTGTGGTTGAGCTTCCATTTCCCTGTCTTACCTGCAAAAGAGGAAGAAATCGTGTATGGAGAGAAATACTCTTTAACCCCTCCACAACCCTTACAACCGAGAACTATCAAGAACATTATGAAGAAAAGGGTGTATATCAATCTATATAGAATTCAATGGGCCAATTCTATATTAAGTGGGGTGAGAGTAGGGCCTCCATATGTGTGTTAATAAAAAATGGCCCATCCCATTATGGGTCCAATTGCCAAATGTAAATGCTAGTCCATATTAAAGAAAAACAATCCAACACTAAGAGCATGTTTGGCTTAACTTGAAAGTACAGAAGAAGTCAATGTCTTTTCTCCACAAAATTTGATGCGATACTGTCAGAGATGATACTTCTTTTTTAGAAGCAGCAGAGCTAAACTAAGGCTGATAAATTTTCAACTGATATATGCTGGAGTGCTCTAATTTGTTGCATTTTGCAGGTAATTGGTAATGTCAGAACAGTGCAAGCATTTGCTGGAGAAGATAGAGCAGTGAACTCATATATGACATCTCTGTTGAACACGTACAAGTATGGGAAGAAAGCAGGCTTGGCCAAGGGTCTTGGACTGGGAACCTTACACTGTGTTCTTTTTCTTTCATGGTCGTTGCTCGTTTGGTTCACTAGCATTGTTGTACATAAGAATATTGCCAATGGAGGAGAGTCTTTCACGACCATGCTCAATGTCGTTATTGCTGGCCTGTAAGCTTTTCACTCTCTCTTAGATATTCAAATGTCATTATGGAATTATATTGTCTACGTTTCAAGGTCATTAACCCATGAAAGATTTTTTCTTCGAGTGACCAACAAAGTTTCAACTTTGGCCTATTCATCAAGTTACTAGATGGTGTGCTTGGTGCATTCACTAAAATATATCTGGTCATTAACATATTAACTTTTGCTATTCTATCAAAAAAAGGTTATTTTTCAAATATTTTCGATGTTCAGTTAACTTGGGAATGCACCAGGTTTTCGCTGTATGTAAGAGTGAATTACATGAAATAATGCTCTGTCACAATCTGTGATTATATTCACAAGGAAAACAATAAAACAGCTTCTGTTATTCTCAGGTCATTGGGGCAAGCAGCGCCAGACATTACAGCTTTTATTCGGGCAAAGACAGCTGCATATCCCATCTTTGAGATGATTGAAAGGAATACAATCAGCAAAACGAACTCCGAAAATGCTCGGAGACTGAGTAATGTAGATGGTCACATCCAATTTAAGGATGTAATATTTAGCTATCCATCCCGTCCTGATGTGTTGATTTTCAACAAACTTTCACTGAATATTCCTTCTGGAAAGATTGTAGCCCTTGTTGGAGGAAGTGGATCTGGGAAGAGCACAGTTATATCTTTGATAGAACGTTTCTATGATCCCCTCTCTGGACATATACTATTAGATGGAACTAATATTAGGGAGCTGGATTTGAAGTGGCTTAGGCATCAAATTGGTTTGGTAAATCAGGAGCCTGCACTTTTTGCCACTACCATTAGGGAGAACATTCTCTATGGGAAAGATGACGCCACAATTGAAGAGATTATACGTGCAGCAAAACTTTCAGAGGCAATCAATTTTATTAACAATCTTCCCGATAGATTCGAAACTCAGGTACTTTTTATCTCTTTAATATGTATTGGTCACAGAAATTTAGATGCACTCCGAGGTATCTTTAACACTTGAGTTTGTCAATTTTTTACACAAAGTTTCTTGAGAGTCTGTTAATGAACTCGTTGACTATATACAGTCGCCTAGGAAATGGGAGAAATAAGAATAGTGTTTACGGTGTTCCTGAGTACTCGTGGATACCTTTTGCAGGTGGGTGAGAGAGGAATACAACTATCGGGTGGACAGAAGCAAAGAATTGCAATATCACGTGCAATAGTGAAAAATCCTTCAGTACTTCTGTTGGATGAAGCAACTAGTGCACTTGATGCAGAGTCTGAGAAGAGTGTGCAAGAGGCTCTCGATCGGGTGATGGTGGGGCGAACAACTGTTGTTGTGGCTCACCGTCTATCTACTGTTAGAAATGCTGATACAATAGCTGTCGTGCAAAATGGTGCAATATTAGAAATCGGAAGCCATGAAGAACTTATCTCAACACCAAATAGTGCCTATGCTTCCCTTGTTCAACTACAAGAGACAGCTTCATTGCGTCGCCTCCCGTCACATGGACCTGCCATGGGGCGACCTCTCAGGTATAAGACTCACCTTCTGGGATATTTTTATATTTGACTATAATTACAAAGGTATCATAGTTCCGCTCAGGAAAAATTCAATAGCAGAACCAATTTAGTTTTTGACTAATTTCTTTACCCAGCTGAAGAGCAATTGCATTTATAAATTTAGCTTTACACACATATTGAAATTGTAGAACCTGACAATGATGATAATTTGTTACTGTTTCCCAACTTAATTTTCTTCGAAAATCTGATAATCAAGAAATACTGTCTGCACAATCATTTTTTGGCAATACGTTTGACAATATTACTGTCCACATAAAGCATGATAATCTTCGTACTGGTTTCATTTTGATAATGCCGAATCACTTATTGGATGCCTCTTATTATACATTTTGAACATTATTCATTCCCTTTGTACAGCATTAGGTACTCACGTGAAGGTAGCATTAGGTATTCACGTGAATTATCCCGCACAACTACAAGAAGCCATGGTGCCAGCTTTCGTTCTGAGAAATCTATAAGCAGATTCGGTGCTGATGGACCAGAGAATATAACACCACAACATATTTCATCTGGAAGATTGTATTCCATGGTGCGTCCTGATTGGTTTTATGGGGTTTTTGGCACCATGTGTGCATTTATTGCTGGGGCTCAGATGCCTCTTTTTGCTCTCGGAGTTACTCAGGCTCTTGTGTCTTACTACATGGACTGGGACACTACACGCCATGAAGTAAAGAAAATTGCTTTCCTCTTTTGTGGGGGTGCTGTTATAACTGTCATTGCTCATGCTATCACACATCTATGTTTTGGGATCATGGGAGAACGGCTTACACTTCGGGTTCGAAAAATGATGTTTACTGGTAATGTTAATTCGATAGCCATGTATGGCATTTTACTTAATATAATCACTACTGCAGTACGCTACAATAATTGAACACTTACATGTATTTAAGTTATTTTCTCGGGATGAATTCATCAAAAACTCTGGTCACTTGGATGGCAAATTTACTAATTTAGACTGGGAAAAAATTGGAAATTTGAATATGGAACAAAATGGTATCCTATTAATTCAATAATACTCAAGAAACTTGGGGCCTGTTTGACCCCAATTTTAGTGCAGAATGTATTTTGGAATAGTAAATTGATAAAGAATGTGTAGTTAAAAATGAAGGAAAAGTTTTTGGATTGCGTGTAATATTATTTTATTGAAGAATGTGTGGTTGAAAAGAAGAAAGAGGAAAATAGAGATAAAACGGGCCCTCAATGTATTATCATCATCATTATCTGGACCTTGTAGAACATGTTTGCTTATTCACTTTTGTTCAATTGCAGCTATGTTGAGAAATGAGATTGGATGGTTTGATGACATGAACAATGGAAGTGCTATGCTAGCATCACGATTAGAAAGTGATGCAACTTTGTTACGAACTGTGGTGGTTGATCGTTCTACAATCCTGTTACAGAATGTAGGCTTGGTTGTCACCTCGTTCGTTATCTCCTTCATCTTGAACTGGAGGCTCACTCTTGTAGTGATAGCCACATATCCGCTGATTATTAGTGGTCATATCAGCGAGGTATCTACTCTTTCCACTTCCAAGTTTGCAGGCTGCAAAAATATATAAAATATTTCAATGACTTATCTTTCCTTTGTTTCAGAAACTTTTCATGCAAGGCTATGGTGGTGACTTGAGCAAAGCATATCTCAAAGCTAACATGTTTGCTGGTGAGGCAGTGAGTAACATCCGAACTGTTGCCGCATTTTGCTCGGAGGAGAAAGTACTTGATCTTTATGCTCGCGAGCTGGTTGAACCATCTCGGCATTCATTCAGACGTGGTCAGACTGCTGGATTATTTTATGGAGTCTCTCAGTTTTTCATATTCTCGTCCTATGGGCTTGCTTTATGGTATGCTGCTTTAGCTTCAATTTTTCAAAATTTCAGTAGGGAAAGTTGTTCCAAAACAATAACCATCTTAATAAATGTGAAACATCATGTCAGATTAAGGTGTTTGTAAGGTAAATGTATATAAACATTAGTCATGGACTGCAGAAGAACAGCGCTAGGTTAAGCCTTGTACTCGATAAACTTCAAATAAGTTGAAAATCAATGTAAAACATTGTCATGTATATGACATGTATCCTCTACCGACATAAAAAATAAGAAATATGCTGTGTGTACATAAAAATACACATAACATTTGACATAATAGCCAAATGGCAGCCCCCTATTGGGGGGAGTGCCTGTGGGCCCAGGCGCCCCCCAATAGGGGGCTACCATTTGGCTATTATGTCAAATGCTATGTGTATTTTTATGTACACATAGCATTACTCAAAAAATAAAGAATTAGGATTCTATATGTGCACTGACGTTGAGACAGTTTCTAAACTGGCATACTAGGTGAAACATCATAGGAGTCTTGATTTTGGTTTGATGCATCAATAAATTCATATGACGTGCTAACCTTTTTCAAACTTTTTTAGGTATGGTTCAGTTCTGATGGGGAAGGAACTTGCTAGCTTCAAAAACGTCATGAAATCATTTATGGTTCTGATTGTAACGGCCTTAGCTATGGGTGAGACACTGGCTATGGCACCTGATCTCCTAAAGGGGAATCAAATGGTGGCATCAGTTTTTGAAGTGTTGGATCGGAAGACAGAGATTTTAAGTGATGTAGGAGAAGAGCTTACAAGGGTAGATGGCACAATCGAGCTCAAGGATGTTGAATTTAGCTATCCTTCGAGACCTAATGTTCTGATTTTCAAGGATTTCAATCTTCGAGTGCATGCTGGCAGAAGTATGGCATTAGTTGGACAAAGTGGTTCTGGGAAAAGCTCTGTAATTTCTCTCATACTCAGATTTTATGATCCAACAAGTGGGAAAATAATGATTGATGGTAAGTTTTTTTTGGCTATATAAATGCTCAATTCTAGTTAGTGATATGAAGGATTTGCAGATGATAACAAGTGCATATTTAGTACACATTATAATGAAAATTTTAGCTTTTTCTTTCATAATACCATCTAGTAGTACTCAATCCTTTCTGCAAAACACACACTTAAAATGTCTACTAGTTGTTATCTAATGCTAATAATGTTGTTAAATTTACATAGGCAAAGACATCAAGAAACTAAAGCTCAAATCTTTAAGGAAATACATCGGATTGGTCCAACAAGAGCCGGCTCTTTTTGCCACATCAATCCATGAAAACATTCTTTATGGTAAAGAGGGTGCCGCAGAGGGAGAAATTATAGAAGCAGCAAAGCTCGCTAATGCACACAGTTTCATCAGTGCCCTTCCTGAGGGCTATTCGACTATGGTTGGTGAGCGAGGCGTTCAACTTTCCGGTGGGCAAAAGCAAAGAGTTGCGATTGCGCGCGCTATTTTGAAGAGCCCTTCTATTCTTCTCTTGGATGAAGCCACTAGTGCTCTTGATGTGGAATCAGAACGCTTGGTTCAACAAGCTTTAGACCGGTTGATGAAGAATAGAACGACAGTTATGGTGGCACATAGATTATCTACCATTAAAAATGCAGATCAAATATCGGTTTTGCAAGACGGGAAGATTATAGAGAAAGGGACTCATTCTTCTCTTGTGGAGAACAAAGATGGCGCGTATTATAAACTCATTAGCTTGCAGCAACAACAGCAACACCACCACAACTGACAACACCTTCTTTTTTCCTTTTTCTTCAACATATCTTGGTGTATGGGTTCAATTTAATGTTTATGTTGAAGTATAGTGATTACTTGGTGCCAAAACATAAGTTCAATTTAGAATTTCTTTTCTTTGTTCTTGTTCTCCCATTTTTAGAATGGGACTTCCATAATTTCCCGACATATTTCCGTCGTCGTCGACTCTTTCTTGGGAAACTTCAATGTTCATATATTATTTTTCTTTTGAGGACACCCCAATCAAATTTCTATCATTGAGCTCACCTCAAAAAAGGGGCTAAGAAACTAGGAATACTAGTCCAAGAGTCAGATCTATTACTTATCTCGTCTAGAAAGTAAGAGCATGGACTGTTTTATTCTCATTTCTAGGAGTGAAGCAACACGACCCAGGATCTACCCGATGCAACAAATCAACCATATCAGACAAAGCCCATCGAAGGGGACAAACGAAAAATCAAAACCAAGATTTTGAACCAGTTGAAGCGAGTTAGTCTCGACATTGCTCAAGTTTACACCAATGGATGAATAAAGCTGTTTGTACAGATGAATTGTACACGGTAGTTTACAGGTGTTGAGATGACAGCACCTTATTGGCTGTTATAACTTTGTTTTTTTTATCTAAACTCCAATGAAATGTTGTCATTTGACATTCTGTAAATTCATCTAGCAAATCTGTCTGTACATGTAGCATTGTTGCCAATGGATTGAGCAAGCAACTAACCTTCTTTTACAAATGCAACTTCAGTATACTCAGGAGAAAGAAAACTCGTTGCCATCTTCATTCCAACTGCAATGACGACTCCCCAATGATCCCTAATAATTCATCGGCCCTAACAAGTTCTCTATCAAACTCTAATCGCTACATCGTTATTCAATTTTAGCTCTTTGACCCTTGGGGGAGTCTACCTGCACTTCGGAGCTCCTTCCTCGAATCACTCCTGCCACCCCACCCATAACCATGGTCTCCATAGAACCTCCCCTTACTCACAAAGTCATCGCCACCTTACCAATAGCACTCGATAGTCTCGATCCCCATGGAATACCCTATGTATATTTGCATTTCTTTACTTTTGAACTTTGTATTTTCAAATGTTTAGATATAAAAAGGAAGTTGATTATTTTAACTATAAGCAGTGATTGAGCTCATGTTTAACTCTCATTTCTTAAAACTCAAATTTCAATCATATAAATATTTTTTTAAGCTTAACCACACACGGCACACTCTCCTCTCTGACACCTTTTGTTGGCGGGAAAAAGAGGAAAAAAACAGGCAGGCAGAAATGAGTTCGTCGGTGGAAGCTCCTGATTTAGTCTGCGAGCTCGATAATGTCCAAGGAATCGTCGACGCACTCACCTCCGTCCGCTGGAAACGCCACCAAGTGCTAATTACCCTTTTTCGTTTACCCTTTCCTTTTTTTTTAATTATTTTTTTGTTTAATTTTATCTGACTGTAGTGGATTCAATTTGTTTTTCCTTCAATTCACACAACCAGGACGCCGTCTTAGAATTATCGGAACACGGCATAGTGATAATCGTCGAGGAAATCAGTTGTCTTCAGGCCAAAGTTTATTTACAACGCGAGGTATTATTATTATTATTTTATTTTTTATACTAAAATTCTGTTTCAATTTAGTACTTCAGTTGAATAAATGCTGTAAACTCCGTGTGTTAATTCTGAGAGTGTTTTTTTTGTTAGCTATTTGTTAGATATGAATATGGGGCGCAAGGGAGGCCACGATTTGGGGTGAGCTTAGGGCTATTTGTGGATTGTCTCAAAATATTTTCAGTTCCAGGGCGCTCAAACATCCTTGAAATCCAGTATCCTGGGCCCGACATGCAACTTCTTCTCAAGTACTACTTGTGTTGCTCTCTCTGATTTCTTTCTGAAATTAATCTGGTTTTCAATTTACTCATTAATTGAATTTAGAAATAATTTGCAGACTGAACTTGACATAATTAGCTGGTCGAATATTGAGTTTCAACATGCTAACAACTGATTTTGGTATTTGGCAATTGAGGAACAGCCATTGTGGTTGCATCATTGCTCGTGATTAGGATTAGGACTTCATTCTCTAGTTACTGACAAAAATGATTGTAAGAAAGTGATTATCAGATTATCCCTATGGGAATTCTAACTTGAATGGTAGAATGCATTCTGAATTGATAATAATGAATTCATAACTGGAGTAATGCAAATAATTAGAAGATGGAGTGAGAAGTGGAGAAGACTGATGGGGTGAACAAAGAAGAGAAGGATGGGAAGCTGAGTTAGGTTAATGAGGGTGCTAGATGATTTTCAATCTGTTTACCTTGACATGTATATTGCCCCGAAAAACACGCTGAAATGCACCTGGAAGATTTGAAGTATGATTTCCCACTGTAATGAGCTCAATAAGCATATGCGAACAAATATTGATTTGGGTGAAGTGAAATCCCTGAAACCCTGAATCATTACTTGGCATTTCAATTACACGGTGTCTTTCTCAAATTGAAAGTGGAAGTAAATACAAAGCTCTTTACAGATTCATCTTGGAGACACACTTCTTCATAGATACTTCATTGTTTTTGTTGCAGGGAACAGCTCTGTGTTTAAAGTATTTCGTACATTAAAAATGAAAAAATTTGTTCTGTTTTGTGGTTTCAATACCTAAATTAAAGGTAGAAACTATTAAACAACTATAAGGCATAGCTTTTACAAACAATATGAGTTGTCAGTTAGACATGAATCCATTCCTTTTTCTCCAGTAAGTTTCATGCAATTTACATTTTCCTTGATACACTCTCTCCTTTTGCTTTTCTTCCATTTTCAATGCACCAGATCTCTTGATTCTCTGGATGCTTGCCTTTATGCGGAGATTAGGACGAGAATTCCAGAGACAGTCTCATGGGACTATAGCTTTGAACCTGCTGGAAGCATTCCACTCAGTTTCACGGTTAAAGTAATTTTGAACTTATACTGTGATTTTGTGAATTTCTTGAAGAAATTTATTAGTGAAAGCATAGTTATAGGAGATGTATCTCATGTAATTAACATAACGTGAATTGAATGTATTCCTCGGATAATATGCAATGCAACTGCCTGCAGCAGCATGCATTATTTCTTATTTGTTGGAGTTTCTAGACTCAGATGGAAAATTACATCTGTATTGCTAGGTTTGATGTGTCATGGGTAACTAGCGTGTCACTGAAATTGCAGTTTAGATGACTGACATTCAGTCCTTTGCAACCTCAGATTCCAAACTACTGATATAGTTTGAATGTTTGGAATTGACCTTCTTCCCTGGATGTTTGATTTATGAAGCATGCTTTATATGTTTATGGTAAGCTATGGTGTGAAAAGCAGAGTATGATGAAGAAAAACAGTAAATTGAAGATATACGAGTATTTTCGGATACTTGTTTCTAGATGTTTATTAAAACCTTGGTCAAAAAACATTTTTGGTCAAATCACCTTTTTATTTTATCCACACATTTCGGAGAATCCACAAGTTTTACCAACTTCTCCACCGCTCATTTACCCCAGTTTATAAACACCTTGTCAGCCATACCCATTTGCAGCTAAAGCAATTATAAAAGAAAATTCAAGCAGAAACTATGTATTTGTTCATGTGGAGATTCAAACAAGGAGTTAAAGGGTGTTGAAATATTTCTGGAGCAGTTGCTAACTTATTTCTAAATTCTCTCTCTTGCATGTCACAAATGTAAAACAACGTATCTCCATCAGTCATTTGATGTCACAAATATCACTAGTTCTAGCTAATTGTATTGTCTGCCGCCATCAATACCTGTTTGATGTTGTGAACATGCCTAATTTAAAGTCCTAACTGGCATGGATATAATCACATTGTTTGCTTGTTAGTTGAGTTATCTGCACTAAAGACATACCCTCCGGAATAGACACGAATATATTTGCGTAACTTGACATTATTTATATTTCTTATTGTCATATAATTCAATAAATTATAATAATTAGGGAATTACACTCTTGCGGATGAACCATTTTTATATCATCTATGTTTGGGTCCTTGGGTGTAATTTTGACCACAGTTGATTGAAAAAATGCGTCTATGGTTTCCTCATTTCTTCAATAGTCTACTGAATTTTAATGTAAATCATTATTCTATCAGCATTATGACTTTTAAGTTGATAGTCTGCAGCTCTGAAGGAAGCTATAGATGATCTTGAGTGGCCTGGCTCAAGCATTCAGATAACTTTACAGCCGGATCCCCCATCTGTCACCTTGAGGGGTGAAGGCCATGGAGACTTGCAGGTACGCCTCATGCCCATTAATCACGAATACAAATTGTTTTTTGGGTTCCTCATTTATACCAGGCTAACAACTTATTTTTGCAGATTGATTTCAGTTACTATGCTAATTCAGATCTTTTGACTGCATTTAGCTGTGATCGGCAAATATCTCACAGCTACAAGTACAAATTTCTCCGGGCAACAACTTCAAACATCCCAAGTAGTGTTATCAAAGACAATCGAGGAAGCAAGTTAACTATTGGGAGAGGTGGAATGCTCAAAGTTCAGCACCTTGTTTCAGTTGCCAAACTATCCGTACCACATACCCATGTCGATTCAGCTGGCTATCAGCAACCCAGCCGCATTGCTTATATCGAGTTTTTTGTCAAGCCAGAGGTAGAAGATGATACAGGAAACGATTCATAGAATTCCTTGTGTGCATATTATGACGAGTTGAATTATTTTGCAACGATGATTAATCTTGTTAAAAAGCTGTTTTGCATCTTCCCTTTATCTGTATACAGTATACTGGCCAATTACTTCGTGTAACACTTGCATTCTTCGTCTTATCGGAACGAGTAATGTTATTTATCTCCAGTGGAGTTACAAACACAGACTAGGTGGTTCTAAATGATAGGTTAAATGAAACGACTTATTTAATTTCACCTATCATTTAAGTGAAAATTACATGCAACCAGAATTTTAAAGATTACAATTCAAAAATCAAATTTAAAGTTTGTTTATACAAAAATCAGATGTTTTATAAAATTAATTAATTTACCATACACAATTTCAATCACAAACCCTAATTATATCTCTCCCTCGTCTGAGTCGTCTCTCCAAACCACCTCTCTACTTTCCCTTCTCTCATCCTCTCTATCCTCTCGTCGGAAATGTGCAACCCAATTCACGACACAGGCAAGCGCGCTGCACATCAGATTTGAGCCAAGTGCAGTGACTGCGCTACACGAGTTGTGGTATTGCTAATTTGGAGTGACGATGAGCACGGTAACCATTCCGTGCAGTTCGCGACGGTCCCTTATGGAGAAATCAAAATCAGAAAAATGTTGCACGACGCTTTCTCCCTCCATTTACTACTCGGCGCTTTCGAGCGCTGCCTGGTTGCTGTGAAGTCGCGACATAGTCGCGGTTGAGTTGTGGTGGTAGTGGTGCTCGTGGTGGTGGTGTTTAAGCTGCTATGGTTTTGTTGGATCCAACAGTGATGGGGTTATGTTGGTTGTGGTCTGCACCATGTCCAAATCGCATCTCAACAATCTAATGTAGGTTTTTGGGTGTGTTTTCAGTTGGTGGTGGATCAGGGATGTGGTGGTGCTCATGGTGGTGGATGAGGGCTGTGTTGGTCGGAGGTGATGATGAGATGTTGTTGGCGACAAGTCTATCGAGGTCATAGGGGATCTGGAGCGACGATGTTGTGGTATTTTTATGGGATGTGTTGATTTGTTTGAGATTGTGTTAACTGTCGAGAGGTGGTGGTTCTAGCGGCGACGGTGGCGGTCTTGTGCTTATAGGAGTGGTAAGGAGGTGGTCACAAGTGTTGGTTGTGGTCACAGATTATTTAGTTGTTTGTGACCATTAAATTGGTTAATATGTGACTGATAAACAATATGTGAATAATAAAAAATTGTAACCTAAAAAATTATTAATTTGTAATCAATAATTTGACAATTTGTGACTGTTTACTAAGTTGTGACTTATAATATTGTGATTTGTGATCGATAAATAAGTTGTGACGTATAAATTTTTTTATTTGTAATCGATGAACAAATTGTGATTTATAAAATTTCTGAATTGTGACCGTAAAATAATTTGTGATCTATAATTTTGTGGCTATCTCTTGAGGCTACCATACTCCTCACACCGAGCCCTTTGTGGGCTGATTCAAGGTAGAGCAACTGCTAGTTTGGGTGGTGGCTCGGTTTTGGAGCTTGGGTTATTCATTGTGGTGTTGATTGTTAGTTTTCTGAGCCCGGTTTGGTGAAATCAAAGGTCTAAATTCCCACAAGAAAAGTTTTGAAAAATCGTCCCATCAATCAATCTATTTGCTCATCATTATTCGAAAATTAGAAAGATCATTTTCAAGTTTGAATTTGTTCATAAACATATAGGGATTGAACAAGGTGGATCGACCATTCCCACCTCGTCTTTATCGAGTATTTTTGTCACATTGTCCCGTTTCCATACCCAGCTAAGGTGGGATGAGACGAGTTCATGATAGGATTGGGGTGAGGCAGGACAAGTTCCCTACCTCGTTTATTTTTATTTTTTACTTTTATATTTTTATGTCTTTAATTAGTGAATATTATTTCTTTGTTTTTTTAATTTATTAAGAACGACTCATATTTTCTTTAAAAATGATGATATATATTTTATTTTTGTTTGATAAAAAGTTTAAATTTGAAATTAACTTAAAATAGAGCAGGTGGTAGGGCGAGAATTATGTTTCTCGTACCCCCGTACGCCCACTTCAAGGCAATTCAATTAATTTGTAGCTTCGAGTGAATGTTTCGCAAGTTATTATGATGAAATTTATATTGCAAAAATAGCTTCAGTAGACACGTTAGACATAAGACGCAGTGATAGTATTAGAAAAGTGAATTTTGCTCCTTTGCCAGAAAACGGCTGCCCACTTGGGTGACCGACCCTCACAAGAGGGTGGGACCGACGTGGGGCCCGGCCAAAATAAAAAATGAAAAAAAAAGCCCCCCTCCCCCCAATGTGAGTAATCTGTCAGGGGGGGGTGTCACCACCCCCCTGGCACTGCAGCTCGGTTCTAGAAAAGTTTTGAAAAACCGTCCCATCAATCAATCCCTTTGCCCATAATTCTTAAAAAATTAGAAAGAATATTTTCAAGTTTGAATTTGCAATCTTTGTGGGCAGGTTTTTTTTTTTTTTATTCTAATTGTTAATGTTTGGAAAAATGTAAAAGGACAAAATAGAGATCGCTACTACAATTTTTCCAAAATTTAAGAACAAAATAGAAACCCAAATGAGGGAACATTGGATATATAGATAAATATATACGGGTAAAAGGGATATTCAAAACTTTCTCTTCAATCCTTTATTTTTAAATATTGTAGATTAATTATTAAAAAAATTATAATTAAATAAGTGTATATTGGGCATATGACTAAATATATAAATTGAATTAATGCTGTCAATAAAATTTAATGTAATATTAAAAAGTTTAATTTCGGAAATTATTGACAAATGAAAAAAATGGGCTTATGGTTAGAATTAATGCTGTTAATAAAATTAATGTAATATTAAAAAGTTTAATTTAGGAAATTATTGACAAATGAAAAAATTGATTTTTTTTAAATTTCTTATTGAATAAATTGAATCGATGTTATTAATTAATTATTAACAAAACTAAAATTAAATAAGGGTATATTGGACATATAATTAATATCTAAGGGCAAAATTAGTATTCAATATTTTAGTGCCAAAGTGAACATATTGAGGCAACCTTTCAATTTTTTTGGGTATAAAATTAAAATCTTTGTAACAGTAAGTTTAGAAAATTTCCCTTTTTGTTTTCTTTTTAACATTAGGGAATGTCCAAATAAACAAGGAGGAAATTATACAAAACAAGAGTTATCCAGATTTAATTTCAAATTTTAGATATAAGGTTTCATTTTCAAAAATCAAAAATTTTATTTTTAAATATTTAATATTAATTTATAATTTTCATCACAAACCCTAATTAAAGCGTGTTTGAGAGTGATTAAAATTCATTTAAAATTGAAAATATAGTCGTTATTAGATCTCACTCGTCTAATAAAAATCAACAATAACACCTAATTTTTCAATTTTAATCTGATTTTAATCTCTACCGAACACCCCCTTAATTTCATTTCAAACTGGCCAGCAAACCCTAGACTTTTCCACTTCTTCTCACTCTCTTTGTCTTCTCTCCATCTCTTCTCTATGCCACAGTCACTCATGCCACCACCGCCTCTGAGCGCGCACTCCCTCTCTCCCTTCCCCTCATTCCTCTCATCTTTTTTTCCATCTTCTCTCCTACAACAGAACCACCATCAATGGACTGTAACCGAGCAGCGCGACTATGAAAACAATGATTCGTCATCATAGGGTGCTTATGTTGCTCGTCCCTTCGATTCTTCTTCTTGGAGTTGCCTTCACAAAGGCGCAGCATCGTGATTTTAGAGATTTTTTTTGTCTGCGTACGGCGGTGCTGCAAGCATCGTCGTACCACCTTGGTGGTTGTGGTATAGTGGATTTGTGGAGGTCGTGGTGGCGTGGTGGATTTGTGCAGGTCTATGGTTGGTCTACTGTGGATTTGTGGAGGTCGTGGCAGTAGCGACGATTTGAGAATTTTTTGGTGGGGTGGTGGTTGTGGTGTGGCGAAGATGGATATAGAGGAGATGTTAGTTGTGATTTTTTGTACAAGTGATGGTGGTAGGGGTGGTGATGGTGGCCGATGTGATGGTAAGGTGGTGGTGGCTGCAGTGATGCCAGTGGTGTTGGTGTGGTCGTAGCGACGACTGTGATAATTTTGGATTTGATTTTTTGGTGGTTTGGTGGTTTGGGTGGTGGTTGTGATGTTAGGAGTGCTGGTGATATGGCGGTGATGATGTGATTGTGGTGGTGGTGGTGTGCTGTGGGTGGTGCGGTGCGGTGCGTGGTGGATCTGTGTGGTGTGTGGTGGTATGTGGAGGTGGTGTTGATGGTTCTGGCGACGGTGGTTTAGGCTGTTGCAACGGTGTGGTGATGGTCACAAACATTGGTGGTGGTTACAATTGATTTAGTTAATTGTGACCAATAAATTGGTTGGTATGTAATCAATAAACAATATGTGACCAATGAAACAAATAAATTGTGACCAATACATGCCCTGTGACCTAAAAATTTATTAATTTGTGATCAATAATTTGATAAATTGTGACCTAAATATAATTTATGATCAATTAATTTGATATTTTGTGACCATAAAATAAGTTGTGGCTTATAAAATTTGTTATTTGTGACCAATAAATAATATGTAATTATTAATTTGATAGATTTATGACTGATGAATAAATTGTGATGTATAAATTTTTGATTTGTGATCGATGAACAAATTGTGATCTATAAATTTTTTGAATTATGACAGTAAAATAATTTGTGACGAATGAAAATTTTGATTTGTGATCAATTATATGGAATTTGTGATCAAATTATATGAATTTGTGACATTAATATATTTAATTCATAAAATATATGTTTACTTAATTAATTTATAAATAAAATTTAAAAAAAGTTGAGATCTGAAATTTTAAACCTTAAAAAAATTTGAAATTTGAAATTTTAAACTTGATATCTTAAATTTGAAATGAGTAAAATTAAACCTCTTAATTTTGAATTTTTCCCATCATTTAATGCCACATTAACGCCACTTAAATTGTGTTTGTAATCCCAATGGGGATGAATAGCATTACTCTATCAGAACTGCTCGCATAGAGTAATTAATGTGGACTAAATCCACTTAAATAAGTGGCATTAGGGTAGGTCAAACATATTGGCCAAGTAAATATAAAATGGACCGAGCTCTAATCGTTTCTAATTACCACATGTGAGATTCTCGGTCCGTCTTGATTCCGTGGGCTGCCAAATGGGCTTGAGGCCTATTGAATTGATTCGACCAGTTTATCATCACAGTCCTAGATTTATTTGGTATCAAATACTTAACAGTGTTGAAGCCATCTTTAAGCAATAAGAATTGGATTGCATGAATTTAAATAATTTCTTTGCTCCTAAAATAATTGAATAGCACCCAAAATATATAGTGTACATGATATAGCCCCCAAAATTTATGAAGTATAAATAAATGTTATTTATTATTAGGACCGTGATTGGAGTACAGGGACTCCAATCACAGGTCTTTGCCCGGCCACACACAGTAGGTGGGGCCGGGCAAATTTTTTTTTTAAAATCAGGCCTTTATCATTATTATTATACATGCATGTGAATAAATCTACAAAGTGTAAATAAATGTTAATTATTATTATACATGCATTGAATAAATAATTGAATCGTAATAGGACACGTAGGTAGTAGGGCTATAATGGTCTCGATAATGCATGGACTTTAACAGCATGATCCCATCATTAATGGAACCGTGTGGGGGCCATAACTGTAGACAGCAACCTAAAGATAGCCAGTTTATTAGAGGAATTTAGTTTAGGATGAGGTTACTTGTTTTATAGCCTAGAGTAAGGGGCCACGTGAATAAAAAGTAATTCCATTCAAATAACCTTTATTGATCAAAGAAAATACATATATTAAACCAACTTTTCTCATACAAGACCAATTCCTAGTGAAATCAATAAAAATGATCACCAATAGAGGTCTTTTCTTGACGCACTGTAGTAAAAAAGCACGGTATAGCTCAGCCAAGGCCGGTAAAGAGCTTCTTTAACATCGCCAGTTCGGATTGTTTCCGCATTACAATCCAAGACAAATATTAAAAAGCGCTGTCTCAAAAAAGTTGATGCAGTATTCTGCTCGTGGCATACTCAAAATGATATGGTTAACTTCAATGGACGTGACTTGAATTTTCATTTGCTTGGATGTCCATCGTAGTTTTCATGAAACGAGTAAGGTGAGATGCATCCATACTGAGTTAGATCATCTGAAAGTCCAACCTCCTCTCTAAAACTTGAGTAAGATGAACTTTGTGAGATATTATGTTGCTCGTCTGAAGGCCGTGAACCCAGGTACGGAAACTGGTCATACTGTGGATAGCATTCCTATAACAATCACACGTTTAGTAATAAAGTACGACCAAGAACCTGATATTATAAATTTTACACGAGCAAATACTAATCTTGCTAGTTACTACCTTATAAGAATCAAGAACTATATTAGGCGAGCCCCACAGGCTTGTGGATGGATCATATCCCTCGATAGGTTCTACCGGATATTGAGAAGTAAAGTGAATTGGATGATTACTCTCGTTACACACGTCAATGGTTTGAAAAGGCATGTTACTAGAAGTCACCGCTGGTTCATTTGATACAGCACTTGAGGTGAAAGGATCACTACTGCTAGAACCATTTCCAGCCGGCTTAAGCGTAGCATCTCCATGAGCATAAGTTCTCTCTATGTTTCCGTTCTTTTTGACAATGCGACACAAGGCAAAAGACCCCTGCAGATATTTAAATTGCCATTTCAATTAACATTTCAGTAATGTAGGAACTGTCAATGACTGCCACTGCAAATTCTAGCAATGTTACCTGAAAACTTGGGGTGTCGTTGGAAACATCATCACAGAGTCGATACTCATGCATAATCCAATCTGTTCTATCCCCAAGTGGTGCTCGTCCGCGATAGAAAACCAAGGTCTTGCGGTACCCTTGGGACTCACAGACAACTTTCCGATCTTTTCCTGTAGCCTTCCAGTATCCAGATTTAGTGGCTCGATTAGTTCGAGATCCATTTGGATACTTCTTGTCTCGATAGCAGAAAAAGAACCACTCCATGTCGCGCTTTGGCAGGAATGATTTTTCTGCAATTCATGGCCAGCACATTACAATTCTTCGTCCTCACGAACCAAAATCAAGAAATGTAACAAGTGTATTTTAGTTAAGCATCGTTCATAATCGATGGCAATTGTCAATAATAGTATGAACTTCACATGAATCCGACATATAATTAAATGAATAAAACACTACGCTTAGGCGATGAACTTTAAGAACAGAGCAAGTCTCATAAGCAATTCATCGAACACATTAGTAGCAATTCTTTTTAGGAGACTAGGCCGTATCTCTGTCCCAGTCCAGATCTTCATATTTGACACTTAGGCCCGGAAAATTATTAATTAGTAGCAAATCTTTGTCTGAATAAATTAAAATATAAGTACCTGGCAGCTCCCATGGATCAAATTTGTATAAATCAATTACTGGAATGACTTCCAGCTCAATTTCAAGTCCCTCATTTTTCCTTTTAAGATAATACCCAACCAGTTCTTCATCAGTCGGATGGAATCGAAATCCCGGCGGCAATGATGCACTTCCCATTAAACAGACGATGCAGCAAAATAATGCTAACGAAGAACAAGCCCAAAACAAATCAAGAATTCTCCTGTTGAAAATTAGAAAAAACCCAAAAATAAAAGCTTTTTGATACACAAAATTTGTTTTCAATAACTATGAAGAACTTCCAAATACTCCACCTCTTTAACAACAGTATCATTTTCCTATTGAAATTCAAAATTTTCTTTTAGCTAAAAGCCTCCCCCTCCCCAAATTTAAACTGCATATATTTAAAAAAAACCCAGAATTCAAATCCCTGTATATAGGAGAAAAGAATCTGAAAATTTAATGTGAGAAAAGAGAAGCTGTGTAGAGGGAAAATAGAGTAGTGCAGAGTGGCTTTTATAGATGGTACGAAGAATATTGAACACCGAAAGTTTCTACCTTGTCCGAAGCTACATAAAATTCCACACAAACCCATAAAAAACCAGTTTTCAGTTCACACATGAAGACAAAAAAAGAAAAAGGACCTGAATCTTAACACATCAGCGTGAGTCGGACAACAATTAATTTTTCCCAATGTTCAAAGTGGGCAATTGCATTATTGATAGAACAAAGTTATTTAGGGGAGTGATCCTTGAAATCATAGGCTCTACGGAAAAGTATATCGAATGATCAAAAAATAATAACACAAATGCATCTCTATAGATGCAAAAATCGAGTTACAAATCCCAATGGACGTGTGATGAGAATGAGAGAGCGACGTGAGAAATCATTTTTCGACTCCGACTCTCTCACTTCGATCGATCATTGCTAACATCAGTCTAGATAATAGTAATTTTATTGTTACATCACATCATCTAAAGGATAAAATGCAAATTAATTTTGTCAAACGATACGGTAGTGACTCAAAATGACACATACAATTGTCGATCACCATGGAAATTAAGCCCTTGTTTTGTTTAGTAAACAAATAATCAAAATTTAATTTAAAGTCATACATTAATTTTAATCAAATATGTCATGGGATCCACAACTTTTATTACTTTTCAATTAAATATTTTATCAACTTTATCAAAATCTGATAAAAAATTGATTTCTATCGGAATCAAACGCAGATTAGATAACATCACTCCTAGCTTATGAATTTGCACGATAATCGATAAAGGTTTAACGGTGAATAAGATATGTACTAATAGTTGAATTGAAGGAGCCGAATGGTTTCACTCACTTTTTGAAAGGGAGAAAAGGGGGAAGAGTTGATGTCAAGCTTATTGCTTTGTCATGGTTAAGTATTTTTATTACAGTTGGAAAACAGTTAAAGCAACTTTAATTAACTATGTATGCAGTAAATAAAAAATAATGAAATTTTGTTTGTTTTGCACTTGAGACAAAACACAAGAAGACAAGATTGCAATTTTTCATCTAACCTTTTAACTATTTCTTTTAAACCTAAGTGACTAAGCGTTGTTCATCTCTAACCGTTTGACCTTCTAAATGGAGGGATTAAAATGATATTATAGCATGAGAAAATATGTAGTTCAAGTTTTCATTCCTATCTATTTTAAAAATTATGTGTGCGACTCTCTGATATACAGCGAATCAAACAGGTCACACCTCTAACAAGTTTAGATTTTTGAAGAACTTTCGACTTTTTCGATAGTGTGAAAAGTCATACAATCGAAAAAAAATGACAAAAAAGGTACAATTGAAAAAAAATGCTATACAACTATCAAGAATCCCTACTCTATGTTCCCCAATAAAATTTTGATACTTCACTACAATTATAAGTGACACCTCAAAGATTGTAGTGAAATTTAACAGAGTTTTGACACGTCTCAAACCTTGATACTTCAAAATAAGGTGTCAAGATTTTATTCAAAGGGAAACAATACGATAACAAATGAAAATATAGAATTAAGTATTAAACTATTTGTACACACAAAGTGTACACTTTGATTGACACCTCCTTATGTATCAAAAATCTGACATTTGATTAAAAAATGTGTTGTTAAAATCAATGTACTAAAATAGCCAACTCATATGAGTGTAAACCAATGTGTCAACTTTTATATACGTATAGCATGGTTCATTAAAGTTATAAGTTAATAACTTTGGTAAAACAATTGAACCGTTATCGTTAACCATTTTCCGCAGCATCAAAATTTAGCACGAAAAGATTGTGATATATTTGTTCTCAAAACCATTTTTGCATAAATGAGAAATTAATCAGAAATTGAAGAGAAAATGAAAATGTTTCAATCCCACGTTACAAGATGAATCTAACGTGATTTCTAGGGTGAAGAAAAAATTGTCAACGCATCAAATTTAATCGATATTGCAGTTTTGACACCATTGATTTGGTCCACATGGTTTATGTTTGAACCGTTTCATAACTGTTCATCATACTTTTTTATAAGAACTATCCAATATATTATTTATTAGACCAATTTATACTTCAACAAATTGACTTGCTAGTCGACTTCTATTCACTCTTTAGAAAAATATTGATTTATTTATAATATATTTTTCTTATTTAAAGAATGAAATTCCAAACCTAAGCCCTTGTTTGTTTGTTTGCCATTTTGTCCATATTATAATGAGTTTTTTGACCGTTGAAAGGCTGCAATTCATTGAAAATTTGAAATGCCAATCAAAAAAGGTCGGGTGGGGCCACCAACGGTCTAATTTCTTCTAAAAATGACAAAAAAAAAAAAAAAGACAAACAAACGGGGGCTAAATTTATGGTTGACCTTTTATTTATTTATTTGTTTAAGTTTGTATTAAGACGTGCATTAGTAAAACTAGGTAGAGTTGAATGTACATTATACCTTATTTTGAAATACTTTTTAAGTACTGTAAAAGTAATATTTGATACCAATATATTTGGAGTATTTGAAAAGTCTCAAATGAATTAAAGAAAATAAAATTAAGGATAGAAACATAAGAGAAGAAAATTTTACTAGAAAAAATCAACTTCTTTGATTCAAATTTTTTGTAATGATTAAATACTTCAAATGAGTAACATTTTTATGCGGCCTTTGATACATAAAAAATAATTGCTAATGCATAAATTTAAACATTCATTAAAATTCCTAAATACATGAATAGAAATAAATTCATTTATAGTAATTCTAGATTCATGCAGATCAAAATTGATCAAGTTAAGAATCGTTGAGTCTAGTTGAATGTTAATGTTAATTAGTTGATAATTAATTAGTTTTGACACGTCTCAAACCTTGACACTTCAAAATAAGGTGTCAAGATTTTATTCGAAGGGAAACAATACGATAACAAATGAAAATATAGAATTAAGGATTAAACTATTTGTACACACAAAGTGTACACCTTGATTGACACCTCCTTATGTATCAAAAATCTGACATTTGATTAAAAAATGTGTTGTCAAAATCAATGTACTAAAATAGCCAACTCATATTAGTGCAAACCAATGTGTCAACTTTTATATACATATAGCATGGTCCATTAAAATTATAAGTTAATAAGTTTGGTAAAACAATTGAACCGTTATCGTTAACCATTTTCCGCAGCACCAAAATTTAGCACGAAAAGATTGTGATATATTTGTTCTCAAAACCTTTTTTGCATAAATGAGAAATTAATCAGAAATTGAAGAGAAAATGAAAATGTTTCAATCCCACGTTACAAGATGAATCTAACGTGATTTCTAGGGTGAACAAAAAATTGTCAACGCATCAAATTTAATCGATATTGCAGTTTTGACACCATTGATTTGGTCCACATGGTTTATGTTTGAACTGTTTCATAACTGTTCATCATACTTTTTTATAAGAGCTATCCAATATATTATTTATTAGACCAATTTATACTTCGACAAATTGACTTGCTAGTCGACTTCTATTAACTCTTTAGAAAAATATTGATTTATTTATAATAATATTTTTTCTTATTTTGAAGAAAGAAATTCGAAACCTAAGCCCTTGTTTGTTTGCCATTTTGTCGATATTATAATGAGTTTTTTTCACCGTTGAAATCCTGCAATTCATTGAAAATGTGAAATGTCAGTCAAAAAAATGTCGGTGGGGCCACCAACGGTCTAATTTCTTCTAAAAATGAGAAAAAAAATGACAAACAAACAGGGGCTAAATTTATGATTGACCTTTTATTTATTTATTTATTTGTTTTAAGTTTGTATTAAGACATGCATTAGTAAAACTAGGTAGAGTCAAAACGTACATCACACATTATTTTGAAATAGTTTATAAGTACTATAATTGATACCAATTTCTTTGGAGTATTTGATAAGTCTCAAACGAACTAAAGAAAATAAAATTAAGGATATAAATTTAAGAGAATAAAATTTTACTAGAAAAAATCAACTTCTTTGATTTTAATTTTTTGTAATGATGAAATACTTCAAATGAGTAACATTTTTATACGGCCTTTGATACATAAAAAATAATTGCTAATGCATAAATTTAAACATTCATTAAAATTCCTAAATACATGAATAGAAATAAATTCATTTATAATAACTCTAGATTCATAAAGATCAAGATTTATCGAGTCAAGATTAATTGAATTTAGATTAATATAAATGTTAATTAATTGAGAATTAATAATACGAAATTCATTCATGACAAGGATTGTAGTATTTATTACATATTAAAAAAAAAGGAAAAAAAGGATATTTAATATATTATAGATGAAGTATATATTTAGAATGTTTTAAATTAAGAGATATAGTGAAATTTCATACCAACATTTATTTTTTTAATTGTTTGAAAGTGTTATTTTTATGCCACCAAAATTGTGATTTAGGCCAACCAAACTGCAAAAAAATGGTTTGATTCAAAAAAACTAAAATAAATAAAAAATGGTTTGGTTTAAAAATTGTTTAAAATCATTCAAATCGAACTATGTTCATCCATGTACTAGATTACTAGTGTTCTTCACATACTTTACATGTATGATATGACAAAGATTTTATAATTTATATCTTGTAGTTGAAAATATATTGAACCAAAATTATATTATTCGGAAACTAAATGATACTTGTTTTG